ATTGGGGTGACTACTACACTATGGTGTGAGTGGGGACATAGACAGAGACAAGGTGGGCTGAAGCTAATCTATGATTGGACCTTGTAGGCCATGGCAACAGATTTTTTATCCTGAGTATAATGGGGAAGCCACTGAAGGGTACACTGGGGGCAGGATGCGATCTGACTTCACCTTCAGAAAATTCATGCTGGCACCCATGGGAACAACCCACCCAAGAGGAACAAGAGTCAGATTTGCACACCAAACAGGAAGTGGTATACTCATTTAGCTGGGAACTGCTGGCTGCCTAGGGTGGGGGGTGGGGGGTGGGGGGGTGATAGCAGTGGAGGCAGTGAGGCAGTGAGAAATTGTTGGCATCAGGATGTATGCTGGGGGTGGAGCTGACAGATGGAGGTGGAGCTGGCAGGTGAGGCATGAGTAAAGATGTTGCTGAAGCTTTTGACCTTCCCCGTTGGATGGGTAGGGGTGTCACGTGCTGAGCTGTGGAGGGCATCAGTGTCAGGAGTGTGGATTTAGTGGGGATAGTGGCAGCAGAGAATGTATTAGTTTCCTGTGGCTGCTAAAACAAATGACCATGCATTTACTGGCTTCAAACAACATAGATGCATTCTCTTAAAATCCTGGAGAGGAAGCCTCACTGGGCTAAAGCAAAGGTGTTAACAGGGCTGGTTCTTCCTGGAGGCTAAGAGAGAATTAGTTCCCTTGCCTTTCTCAGATTCTAGAGGTTGCCTGCAGTTTTTTGTCTTTTCTTCTGTAACCACATTTCCTACTTCTCTTCCACCATCAAATCTTTCTTTGTTTCCCTCTTATAAGAAAAATTTGTGGTTACACTTACGGCTCATTTGAATAACCCCAAACAACACCATTATTTCAAGATTATTAAATTAATCACATCTGCAAAGCTCCTTTTGACATATAAGGTAGCAATAATAGGTTCAAGAACTATGACCTGAATGTCTTTGGGGGCCATCATTCAGCGGACCACGTGACTGATAGCTATATTTTGGTCATGGCAAGTTTAAGATGTCTGAAATCCAACTAGAAGTGCCAGGTGGGCATTTGGGCCTATGAGTCTGAAGCATAGAGATATAGAAGCCATAATATTGAGATGCTTTGAATTTTCTCCAAAATTAAAGCATTACCAAGGTGACAGCATGAAGAGGCTGATCTTTAGAAAGTGATTAGACCCTGAGGACTCCTCTCTCATGAATGGGTCAGGTGCCCTTGTATTTGGCCTTGAGAGAGAGAGTTGGTTCTCTCTTGCCCTTCTACCTTCTGCCTTGTGAAAGTCCTCAACAGAGGCTGGTGCTGTGATCATAGACTTCCCAATGTGTGAAATACATTTCTGATCTTTATAAAACCTTTATTCTCGGGTATTCTAGCAGCACAAAACAGACTAAGACAGGTGGAACTTGAAGCCTCGAGAATGGCTGCAATCTCCTGGGGAAGGAAAAAAGGCCAATGATGGAGCCCTGGGCTGCTGATGCTTACAGGTTCGGTGGAGGTTTTGGAGGGGGTACAGCCAGCCAAAAAACAGCTCTGAAGAAGCAACCATTGGCGTAGAAGCAAGACCAGCAAGTGCAAGAGTTCTAGAAGTCTAGAGAAGGGTGCATTCCAAGAGAGTGTGATGATTCTTTTTTTTTTTTTAGGTTTATTTTATTTATTTGAAAGGCAGAGTTACAGAGAGAGGTAGAGACAGAGAGAGAGGTCTTCCATCTGCTGGCTCATTCCCTAAATGGCTGCAACTGCCAGAGCTGTGCTGATCTGAAGCCAGGAGCCAGGAACTTCCTTTGGGTCTCCCACATGGGTGCAGGAGCCCAAACTTGGTCCATCTTCCACTGCTTTCCCAGGCCACAGCAGAAAGATGGGTTGGAAGTGGAGCAGCTGGGACTCAAACCTGTGCCATATGGGATGCCAGTGTTTCAGGCTAGGGCTTTAATCTGCTGTGCCACAGTGCTGGCCCCATAATGATTCTTTTAAATGCTGTTAGAAGTCAGCTCAAATAAAATGAGAAGTTTTTGGCTTGGTGAGCACAGACAGAGGAGGATGACAGAAGTAATAATGGGAAATCATGTAGTTCTCACCCAAGCACATCTTTGCTTCTTATGAGGCCATCAGTTAAGGTTGGAGGGATAAGAAAGGAAGTGGTAAACGTTTATGGAAGTTGGGACTGGCCTCATGGAATAATGGGTTATGCTGCAGCCTGCAGTACCTGCATCCCACATAGGCACTGGTTCAAGTTCTGGCTGCTCCACTTCTGATCCAGTTCCCTGCTAATGCTCCTGGGAAGGCAGCAGAGGATGGCTCAGGTCCTTGGGCCTCTGTACCCAATGGGAGACCCAGATGAAGCTCCTAGCTCCTGGTTTTGGCCTGGCCCAGTCCTGGCCATTTTGGCCATTTGGGGATTGAACCAACATACGTAACATCTTTATCTCTCCCTTTCTCTATAGCTCTATCTTTCAAACAGATAAAATAAATCTTAAAACAATTTATGGAAAAAGGAGAAAGTGGTAAATAATTATGTTGGAAAGTATAAGATTGAATTTATAAGGGAGAAGTGGCAGAATTATCTGTGTTGAGTGTCCATCTGAGGTTTGTGGCCATAAATTTAAATCTTTCTCCACATCTTCAACTGCTTGCTCAGGTGCATGTGTGGAATAAGAAAAAAGTTGGGTTTTACTCTTAGAGAATTTTCATCAGGCAAGTGGACATGAGAGTTATATATGCTTGCAGGGGACTTCTCACCATGCTGGACAGGGGAGCCCAGGTTGGGAAGTCTACAATCAGAAGTGAGAACACAAAGTGGATCGGGAATGACGAAAATGGAAAGTGATGGGGTCAATGCCTGGAGGTCTCTCTGAGGACAAGGCCTGCTGGAGTCAGAGAACTACAGAGATTAGGGAGTGATGGTCACAGAGTGGGAAATCACAGAAACTGTGTTTACTGGTGATAATGAGTCTATGGGGGTGACCACCTGATTAGGGATCATGATGGGCTTTAGAAAAAGATCTTTGGGGTAACAGGGAGTAGGACAGATGATTGGCATCATCCATCCTTAGTGGCATCAAACTAAATGCTCCATTTTGATAACAAATGTATTTGAATCTTCTTTCCTATCCTGAAATGAAATTCATAAGATATTATGAGTTGCTGTTTTTTTTTTTTAAATAATAGAATGTCCTAATAGTTAATGTAAAAAGGGGGTGGATAATTTATAACAAGACAACATAAATTTCAGTACAAATGCAGAGGCACAACTGTATTAGAAAATAGGAAAATGCCATAGATTTCCAAAATGCTCCCAAAGGGCTGGGCTCACTGATTTACGCAGATGTTGAGGAAAGGACTGATGGGAGGGAGCCCATGAGGCAGGTGCATCGAGGAGAGCGTAGGCTTCCACAGCACCAGGAAGCGGAAAAGGCAGGACAGAAAGGTGGCATGCACTTGGAAGGGCAGAGCAGGAGAGGTGATTTGGAAGTGGCGGGGAGGGCAAGAAGTGCATGCTCCCACCCCAGGCCCCATGTTTCATGACAGCCACGTTTCAATCAGAAGATGATGAAAGGAACAGAGATGAAGTTGCTCATGTTGGACTCTGAGGTCAAGAGGGCATTGTGGGAAGACGGGATGAGCAAACCAGGAAGGGGATGATGGGTATTCAGGAGGCTGGGCCTGAGGAGGTGAGCCAGATGAAGGGGAGGTGAGGCTCCATGGGGCTTGTCTTGCAGCAATGGAAACTCCAGGGCTGGAGCCAGCTCTCGAGAGCCAACAGTGCTGAGTCACCTCAGCCCCCTCAACGTGCAGCTGAGAGCCCGGAGGAGCACCATGGAACCTCTCCAATCTCCGTCCCGCAGTGCTTCTGGGAGACAAGAGCCGCCACCCACTGCCATTCTGCGTCTTCCCGCAGTTCCCGACATCACTCTTTGCTCAACAAGTCTTCAAAGGCTCTTTGAGAGACGGACTCAAGGTCCCCAGCCCTTTGTTTGGGTCACATTCTGAAAGAACTGATGAAAGGTATGGATCAACTCACCAAGAAATCACAACTGGTGTATGAATGGTCCTGATCGTGTTAGGGGGTCTGTAAATCTCCAGAAGCCCACCTGTGGACCTCTCGATTTAGTCTGGCAGAGTCTGGACGAGGAGACCTCCTCTCTATCTCACCCTCTCCCAAGTGTGTCAACTCA